GAACATGAAGAACACGAACATGAACATGAAGAACATGAAGAACATGAAGAACATGAAGAACACGAACATGAAGAACATGAAGAACACGAACATGAAGAACATGAAGAACATGAAGAACACGAACATGAACATGAAGAACATGAAGAACATGAAGAACACGAACATGAACATGAAGAACATGAAGAACATGAAGAACATGAAGAACGAACATGAAGAACATGAAGAACACGACATCAAGAACATGAAGAACATGAACATGAAGAACACGAACATGAAGAACATGAAGACACGAACATGAAGAACATGAAGAACACGAACATGAAGAACACGAACATGAAGAACATGAAGAACACGAACATGAAGAACACACATGAACATGAAGAACATGAAGAACATGAAGAACATGAAGAACATGAACACGAAGAACACGAAGAATGAACATGAAGAACATGAAGAACACGAAGAACATGAACATGAAGAACATGAAGAACACGAAGAACATGAACATGAAGAACATGAAGAACACGAAGATGACAGAACATGAAGAACACGAAGAACATGAACATGAAGAACATGAAGAACACGAAGAACATGAACATGAACATGAAGAACATGAAGAACACGAACATGAAGAACACGAACATGAAGAACATGAAGAACATGAAGAACACGAACATGAAGAACACGAACATGAACATGAAGAACACGAAGAACATGAACATGAAGAACACGAAGAACACAAGAACATGAAGAACATGAAAGAACATAAACGAACAGACACGAAGAACATGAACATGAAGAACACGAAAAACATGAACATGAAGAACACGAAGAACACGAAGAACATGAACATGAAGAACACGAAGAACATGAACATGAAGAAAATGAAGAACACGAAGAACTTGAACATGAAGAACATGAAGAACATGAAGAACACGAACATGAAGAACACGGCCGTGAGTAAACAACAAGCAACAAGTGGGATTGAACAGAGAGAAAAAACAAAACAATAATAATAATAATAATAATAATAATAATAATCACCAGGCTGGTGAGGTCAGTGCAGCGGCTCTTTTGAATAAACTTCTCACACTTATTTTTTATTACATATATTTTTGTACAAGACGTCACAGTTTTTGCCCAAACGACATAAATACATTTGACTGTGGCAGTGTGGCTGACGTGGGCTGGTGTAGGAGG